GAAAGATTTAGGAGCAATGTTGGAAATACTCTTTGTTATTGCATGTAAATGTTTTACACTAGTCTTGACAATATCATTTGCCATGATATGGCCTCAATATTCTGCTTTGGACTATCTTTACAGATGTTTGGACGTGAAGCTGTGAAGCAATTGGACTATATAGAATGTTTTCCTAATGGATATAAAACTGGGATTAAAATGGATAAGGCATGCTTAAATTCTGGAATTGAAGGGTTCCCAACATGGGTGATCAATGGTCAGGTTAGCACTATCATTTATTTTCAGCCCTGAGGAGCAACTGACTGTAAAAAAGTTGGAATTTTTCTACTACGTATTGCATGTAAAATTCTGTTTGTTTGTTTTTTGGATTCTGAATTTCCTGAAATAAGTTGCAAGTATTCATCAGCTTCCAGGGATTACAATTTTTATTGGTCTCTTCTTATTGGATTTATCCCCACTCTTCTTCTCAACCTTTTCCAACATCATTTTTTCAATGCACTTGGTTCTCACTTTGCCATTCTTTTTTTGGGAAGGTTCTGAGTGGAGAGCTAGAATTGACACAACTTGCAGAGATTTCTGGTTTCAAGGAGTCAGCCAACTAAGCTTTCTGTGGTAGCTTCTATATAGATTTTGTTTGGAGTGATACATGTGGCCCTTGGCCCGGGTGTGCACTTATTCTCCATTTATCTTAAGCAGTACGCTGTGTTTAGAGGACGCAATGAAGGAGGTTACGAAATTGCAGGTTTGGTTTATCTTTGAACCCGAATAGAAGAAAAAATGTCCCAAGAAAAAACTCTGTAGATGACATACATAACTTTGGAGAGGTAAAACTTTTGTAAATTGGTAGTTACTTGGTCTCTATAAATCATTTTGTTTTGGATCTACACAAATTATTGCCTGATTTAGAACTATTTTTATTGTTCTGTGAATAATGCTAAGTGACAAACAGTTACACAAATTTATATGCGAATTCAGAGTCTGCTTGGGGGTATTCCGTACGTGAACTAAACCAGCCAATTAATCTTATCTGCATCAGTTATCAGCTAATGTTTGGAGCTGAGTTATTGTAAAATTGTGTGCATCTAGCATTACTAAAATTAAGTGATTACATGTTCAGTCAGGTCTGAGTATTTCGTTTGCTTCAAATGTTAATTCTAGCCTGGCTCTTTTTGCTGAAAATGGGAGATACGTGCGCGCTCTTGCTCCTGATGAAATCTAGCGGTATGTTTTGTTCTTATCTATATCTTGCAAGTTATGAGATTCGAAATGAGCAACCAAAACACAAGTAGATTTCCAATTAAAAGGAAAATGCATTAGGCCACAAATGCATTTTCCAATAGAACAGGATTCAGTAGTATGCCTGGGGGAAGGCCCCTATGGATGAAAAGCAAAACCCACCTAATGGACCTGAGTTTGCTGGGTAAGAACTATAATAGAATAAAAAGGTGAGGAGATCGAATTTTTGTTTGATAGAGTGGAGGTAAACATCTTGTGGAATTCTCTTTGAAATCTAAGTGGGAAACAGATTCAAATTTTATATAAAATTTATTTGTAAATTTACATTTTTCTCAAGTGGAAAAATGAAAGTTTCACTTAAAATAATAAAAGTTATAATTATTCATCTTAAAAATAATTATTCTTGTACTTTGTAATTTAAGTTGAACTATTTTTCTCTCAAATTTAAATTGATCGCCATCCTCCATTTATTTCCCAAAAAAAAAAAAGAAAATAGGTTTACGCATCTTATATTCACCTCACCACTAAATTCAAACACCATTTGCTTTTTCCTTTAGATATAGAAGTTTCATGGAGAAATAGAATAGAATCAACAAAGAACTACAAGAATGCTCCTCAAGAGATCATAATAAAGTCTACAAGCAAAACGCAGACTCCATAACAAGGGCCAAGATGAAAATATATAGATATATTATAATCCAAGTCCTAAAATAAAAAATTTGTATAAAAAGTGAATACTTGGGAATTAGGATGACAAACATCATCGATCAAAACAAACTCATTTGTTGATGATGATTGACATATTGATTAATGTATGCCAAAGGAAAATCGATTTGTAGTCATTCAATACGAACGCGCTTGATCTTTCGATTATTTTGTAGAACCACTTGATCGGATTTTTGAAATCTCGTATGTTCTACGGTATTATTACTTGTTTTTGATTTCTCCACATATTTTTGCATTTTCTGATCGGACAGAAGTTTCCTCCGACGTTCATTATGACCAGCCAAACGACTTCGACAACTTCTTTTAAAATTATCAAACTCTGAAATCCCGTGAAACCTGCATTATATATTGAGACTGCTTGTTAGAATATAAATAATTAACTGAATTACTTCTTATTAACTCTTATTTTTTGAAAAGACTTATTCAATCTATTATTAAAATAACATGCTGAGACATAGATTTGTTGTTTTACTTATAATTCCGTACAAGGTCTAATAAATTTGTGTTTGATTCATGCTTTCAACACTGATGAACATGTTAAATATAAATAATTAACATACTATTTTTCTATAAAATTAATTTTTTGAATAATCATTTTAATCTGCTATTTTTTGTGAAAAGAAAGTTCAATCAAGAATTTATTAGTGCAAATAGTTTGAGGTTAAGCAGAAAACAAGAGCCAAGTAGTGACTTCAGTTATTCCAAGAAATGAAATTCAAATAAGCTAAAAGATTGACAAGGTTTTGGCACGCGAAAACCTTCAAGAAAAACAAACTACTTCAACAATTGAGTGAAAGGATCAGAAAAACTGTATATTGAAAGAGAAACATATGAGATCATGGCAGTATGTATCTGACTCTGGCTTTTGCTCTGAACTCCAAAGGTAATCTGATTTATAATTATCAGCAGTAACTTATGGCCAGATTTGGTGGGGTTAGAATTTCATTGATTCTATAATTAAGAAAAGTAAGAGATTAAAGAAATGTATTACCGGCTGCATTGCTGGCAAAACCTCTGACGAACGCCCTTGACCAGGACTACAGGTGCCTTTGCATGTCGCTCACAGACCTTGTGGCGTCGGTGGTAGGCCTTGGCGTCAACCAATTCTTTACCACATTCATCTGCTTGGCAACACAGATAGATACCTCCACTACCATTATCGCTATTTGACTCTAATTGAAACCCCCTTCTTTCCCCTCCAGATACCACCCGTATAATTATCATCTTCTCCCTCTGATGCTTCTCCTCCTCCTCTTCTCCTTCATCTTCTTCTATTTCTGATTCCTGTTCTGTTTCTAGGTCGTTATACTGCTCTTCACCCTCACTCACGAATGATCTTTTAGCCATTGAAGAACCAGAACGAAGAGAGAGAGAAAAAGGAACAGGGGAAAGTAGGACAACGGCAATGGTTAAATACAAAAATGTCTGTTGTGCTGAAAACTAAAAAGATGCCCAGTAAAGTTTCTCTTCTCCTCCTCCTCTGTCCATTTCTTCTCCACCCTTCTAGTTCTTTTTCTCCGTCCACAATTACCACTAACTTCCTTTTCTTTGTCTCCACCCCTGCAACTTCCTTATATCAATGGAGCTAAACTCGCACTCAAAAGGAGAACGCAACTAGAAATCTACCATTTACGCACTCAAAAGGGACTCTGCACTGTGTACCTTTAGAATCTCCATTAGAGAAGTGACAGACTCTTGATCTTTTTGCTCTCTTGGGTCATTTTACATACGCGGCTTTTATGTGAAGATGCAATCTGGTCGCTGAAATTGTATTAAGACCGCTTGATTATTCTCCGGTGCTTAAAAACAGGGTCGGCTGAACCTAGACTTGCAGAGGAAACCGTGTGGATGGCGGAGAATGAATGAGCTTACCATCTTCGAGTAAAACGGGATCTAACGGTTAAGATTACTAACACGTAATGTAGGCACATGTAATGCATGACAGCATAAACCTTTTTTCCCCCAAAAGCCTCCGCCATTTTAGCAACCTCTACATTTATTTTACCTTCTCCACGCGCCATTAAAGGCAATGCTCGTCAAGCCCCTGATTGGGGCGGCGATTAGAGTACGGACTTCATTTGTTATTTTTTTTTAAAACAAAAAATTTACTTTTTGTTGTTATTAAAAATAATTATATTTAATAGATTATTTTAATAAAATAAATTTATTTGGTACTTATTTATTTAAAAATATCATAATTATGTAATATTTTTGTTTGCCAACTACGTAATTGATTGCTAAAACTAATTGCACTCATGAAAACCAAATAGGAGGAATTGAAATGCATAATAAGCTTTAGAAGACTTTTGAAGGATCAAAACAGAATTACATTATAATCTTGAGGATATGAGACAAATATTCACTTCAACAATGTCTTAAGCAACCTCAAATCGTCAAATTAATTCGAAATTTGGTCTAAACTAGTGCCAGACATAAAAAAAAAAAAAAGAGATGTGTTATGATTTTTCAATATTCATATTTGTTGTTAGGATGACGTTGCAGCAGAAAAACATAAACAATTTTATGGAAAAGTTCATTTTTTATTGAATTCAAAACATACATTATATAAATTTGAAATTAACTAATCACTAAATTTATGATCTTAAAAATAGATCGTGATCACGTGATAAATCACAAAATAATAAGTTACTAAAAGATAGGAAACACTACTTTAAAATTTTCAAATTTAAACAAAAACAGATTTACTGATGTGGCAGCCATCCTAAACATCATTTCTAACACTCCTCCTTGTTTAGCTGCTGCAAACTCTAAGTTTCTTTCCGATTGTTTCAAACTTACTAATTGACAGAGGTTTGGTAAATACATCTTCTACTTGATCATCAGTTATGCAATAAACTAAGGTGACAAAACCATTCTTTTGCACTTCCCTCAAGAAAAATAACTTGATGTTGAAATGTTTAGCTTCGCCGTGAAAAACTGGATTGTGAAAGATAGTTATTGCAGCTTGTTTATAAACCAAGATCTGTGTATCTTCTTTCTACTCTAGATGAAGATCACTTAATATTTTTCTTAGCCACAAGGCTTGATTTATAGTAGCAGTTACAGTAATAAATTCTGTTTTAGCAGTAGATTGATCTACTATTTCTTGTTTTTTCGAACTCCATGAAATAACTCCTGATCCAAAAATAAAACGATACCCAGAGTTACTTTTCATATCATTAATAGATTATACTCAATCACTATCAAAAAAACCAAATAACTTGGACTCATTAGATTTTTTGAACTTGATGCCAAAGTTGATTATACCTTTGATGTATCTAACCACCCTCGTAGCTGCTTTCAGGTGTATTTTACTTGCACAATGCATGAACCGAGATAAAATACTCACAACCATCAAGATATCAGGCCTTGTTGTTATAAGATTCATCAGGCACCCAATCAGACTTCTAAAGTGTGCCTCATTCACTTTCTCAGTTCCATCTTCCTTGCATAGCCTTTCCTTTTGATTCATAGGAGTGTTCGTTGACTTGCTATCTTCCATATGGATTTCTTGAGAATTTCCTTTAAATACTTCTTTCGACAAATGAAAATTTCATCTTGACTTTGCTTGATCTCCATTCCGAGAAAATAAGTCATCAATCCAAGATCAGTCATCTCAAAAACTTTCATCATTTCCAGCTTAAATTCATCAATTAGAGTTGCATTATTTCCATTCACCAAAAGATCATGCACGTAAAGGGAGATAACAAGAATATCAACATCATATTATTTGACATAAAGAGTAGACTCATATAGAAATTTTTTCAAAGCCTAAACTTAGCAGATGGTCATTAGTTCTATTATACCAAGCTCTTGAGCTTG